TATTAATCCAGCCACCCCTAGGGTGCTCCATCCTTTACCAGTCTCACGACTGATGCATTCAGGGTTCTTCCCTCTGCTTGCTCAGGCAGAGCTCCTTCCCCCTTGTCTGCCAGCAGGGAACTGCCTCCTGGCCTCCAGCCTGTGATTATATAGGAGCCAGGCACTGCCCCTTCTGGTCAGTTGACTAGGCAGGTATGGGTCACTAGTTCCCTTTAGTTGCCTCAGCAACCGGCACCTGAGGAGTTATCCCGGCTCTCCAAATACTTCAGCTGTTCCCAGGATCTACTATTCTTAAGATGTAAAAATGTGCCTAAGGCTTTCTCTCGGCTGCATATATCATATGGGGTGAAAAAGGGTAAAAAGGAAGAAAGCAACTGAATAAACAGCTCTGCTAAATCTTCAGTCTGAAAGCAGCCTCCCTAGGTATCAGTGAAAAGCATTGCTGCCTGATAGCTGTTTGCTGGTTCACATAAGGAGTCGGTGGTCTCTACTGGAGACGCTTCCACATCAAATACCAGTACCAAAACTGATGTGAATTTGGTACTGATGTCTACAGCTTCCATAAGATAATCTTCAGTGGGCATAGACACTGAACTATCCATCCAGAATCAGTGCACACCATTGCTAGATTGCGAGGAGCCTGAAATCTTTGTCTAAATAAAGAATTTCGGTTTCTAGAATTGTGAGCCTGAGATATGCCTTAACTTCACTAAAATATTTATGCAAAGAAACTGAGCACAAATGGAGAAAGACAAGGGAACTCCTCCTTCAGGGCATGAAATAATCACCCAAGAGACCCTTTAAAGCTTACAGACCATCTGAAGTGTCCCTAATCTACAGCAAGCATTTTCCTTCACCTCTCACCACTCTGTAATCACCTTCTCCATTACTATTCCAGCTACTGCACTCATCCTCCAAGTCACTGTCATGTGCATCAGCAGCAGCAGCTGCTAGCAGGAGGCAGAGAGTCTGAGATCAGCAAATAAATGGACCAGAAGGGCTAAGGAAGGCACAGAATTAAATAACCATAGACCACAGGCAGTACACACAGACTATGACCTGCTAAGTGGCCAGTGGTCTAGATTACAGTGTAACTATACATAAGTGTCTGTGTTATAACTTGTTCATCTTGTTTTAACTCATTCAGTTCCTGGCTACAATTCTTTTGAACCACAATGGGAAAGCAAATAAAAATAAATACAGAGAAATAAAAGGACTGGCCCTCTTGAAATTATTTTCTATTCCCTTGAAGAAGTTCTTCAATAAGGCTATGCCTAATTGTAATTCTGGAAATCCTACTCTAAGGACTGCTGCAAACAAAAGGGCAAATTTAATTAGATTAGGCAAGGAAAATGTGTATAGCTCCTATGGACTGCCAATTCAAATCCCACCCCAGACTCCCTTAAGTAAACTCATTTACTAATGGAAGTGGCAGACCAAATCCTGTACATAGGACACACTTTTTTTCAAAGGAATCCTCTGGGAACTGTGCACTGCAGAGATGTAAAGGAGAAAATGAATCCCTCCATTAACAACCAAATATTTAATAATGCTGAATTTCTTTTTTGTGGAACTCCTTTTTAAATTTTTATGATCACAAAGGTATCTGTAATATAAAATCTGCCTCACATGAGGTAAAGCTGCACTGTGCGTTGAAGTCAGCATGCTAACAATGGCATATGTAACCTTTTTTTTTTTTTTTTTTTTGTCTTTGAGATCCTACTTGATACACTTTCAAGATCAGTTTCATTTACTTAAGAAATTAAATGAGTGATTGGAATTTTCACCTTGATTCATTTTTCATAATTAAAATAAAGATAACTGAAATAAGTCAATTGAAAGAATAAGGAGAAGAGATGGCAGGGTCTATGGTGTGTACCTGACTCAGGCAACAACAGCTAGAGCACAAAACCGTTTTTCAGTGGATAGTGAAAAACCAAATACAGAATAGCAGATGCACTTAGTTAATGTACTATATGCAAAACCTTTATAAGCAATATATTAAGCATGGAGTGGTCTGGTACTTTTATTTCCATTTTACAGATGGGGAAATGCCTGCAATACCCACTCAGGTGCATGGATGCTCATAATTTACACACTATCTTCTGCTCTCTTCTGGACTTCTTTCCCTTAGCTGTATTCTCTCCCTTATCTCTGCTCTTGTTTCACAACACCTCTTTCCCACTTAGGCCTATCTTGCTGATCTTGTTCCAGGACCCCTGTTGAAGAACTCCCCCCACAGACTCTGCTGGGCGTCTGTCTAGCCCTTTCCAGAGAGAAAGGGAGAGACAAAGAGAAATCCACACCACCTCTCCCCTGGGACTCCCCCTTACAGGTTTCCATTTCTCTCTCCTCTTTTTCTCTTCCTCTTGGGACTTCTCTCCTCTCCATGATCTTGCTCCTTTAAGATTTAATAGATATCCCACCCCCCCAGGGTAACCATTGAGGATACCTGAAATCTCAGACCCTAGGTCATCTTCCTTAAATTTAGAGCCCATCCCAGGCAGCGGATGTTGCCTTCTCAGCTCACTTGGTTGGTGGGAGCCCCAGGCTTGAGTTTCAGAGATGTCTGACACTGGCAGTTCTCCCTTATTTCTGACTCACATGTTCTTGGTATCTCTGATATTTGAAAGACACTGTCCCTGTTCCCTTCCCTTGACTTCTTATTTGATGCAAAGTACAACAAGAATGGGTTACTGGGATGAAATTATTTATTGATACATCTGTTACATTTAACTTTCCATACTGGAATGAATTAAAAGCAATAGGATTTTGTGGTCTCCTAAAGGGCTCTGAGCTGTTTACACAGGCGTGAATCTGTCCTCTAGAGGCAAGTTAACTGATACTGTTACTGAGAAGTCTGTATCTTTTGGAATTTAACAACAAAGCAGGAAAAGAAGAAAACATGAAACCTCTTATTGTACCAACAAATGATTTATAATATATAAGCTCTGAGGATAAAAAAGCTCCTTCAGACTTGTCTCCGTCAAAAGGGAGCTCCTGCAGCAGAAACCTTACTATAAATTATTTGTTGGTTTAGTGTAAGGTATCAGCCTGTTATCTATTATTTCCCATGCTAAAGGACTGACCACAAATATTTTCTGGACACATAAACAAAGTCAGTAATATTACCAACAGGAAGCAACATGCTGGAATATGCCAACACAGAACCACCATACAACAACAAAGCCCAGATAAATTTCAGTGAAAGCACAAAAAGCATAGACCTGGAGAAATTGAAACCACTACTCACAGCTTACAAAACAAGGCAGAGCTTCCTCTGAAACCTGCTTTCTTCCTGCTGTGCAGTGAACTAAAGGAGGTTAGGTTATAACATGTAACCACCACTTTTCATGTTGAGATGAAATGAGAAGAATGGGAAAAGAGACAAGGGCTGGAACACAAACCACAAGTCTGCCCACCCAAATAATGTACAAAGCAGCTTGGTGGGTAATTTAAAGGTCAGAGCTTACACATACATGCAGTTTCCATGAGCACAATCTCCTTCTGACAAACCTATGAATTAAACTCATGCAGCCTGAATAATATTCTAACCAACTGACTTCAACATCACTCCTCCCCTCTACCCTTTCTACACTTTACCCCATGCTAGCCAAGTACTGGAACAGTGGTAGATCAGGTCTCTGTGAATCTGACAAGCACACAGGTTTGCTGCCTGTAACAAGTTAATTAGACTAAAAAAATCGTAAACCAACATTTCCCATGAAGGACCATGTATCCTAAAAAGTGACAAAGTAAAAAATATCAGACCCTTAGTTAACAGCAACAATGGTAAGAGTTATTAATGGTAACAGTGATAAGACGTCAGTTCTGTCTATAGCAGGAGTATTTGCCTGCATTGGAAGGTCGGTATACTGTACTGCTTAAGTGCTCCTGGTGTAGATGCAGCTGTACCAGCTAAATGTGCTTGGAAAAAACATTCCGCTTCCCCAACCACCAAAGGAAACAAACTCTACTGGTAAAAGCACAGTTCTGCCATTATTTAGTGGCACCTCCTCTAGGGACTTCTGCCAGCACAGCTAAGCTGGTCAAGAATTAAACCTCTTCCAATCCTTACCCACAACAGTAAGACCAGCAGAAGCCTGGGGTATAGACAAAGCCTTAGGATAAAACAAGATTTAGGTTAATTTCCTCCACTCACCCATTTCTCCTACCTCTGTTTGGGATGGAGAAACAGAAGAGGGACGAGGGATTGTGCACAATTGTCTATATTGCACTCCTGACATGGCACTGCCTTGTAATGTGTGAAAGCAATTACGCCTTAGCCAGGGATATAAATCACCCCCATTCTGATTAGACAAGCATCCTAACTGAGCACATAGCTGTGGAGCATACAGATGCCTGCAGGGACAAGTCATCCGGCCCTCCAGGCCTGTGAGGCTCCCCAAGCAAGTTATGGAAACACTAATTAATGCTGCCACTGCTCCCCCGCCACCAAATTTCCAGACATATGGGAAGCCCTGTAGGCTGGATGACATGGCTCCATGGGCACATAGGGTCACTTTGCAGTGAGACTGTACTTGTGGACCACCCTTACGTGCCAATCCCATGTTGGATCTGGCCTGTGGACCAGCTCTGCCTGTGGGATCTGGCCTGTGGACCAGCCCCATGTCATTCATCTAGTCTGTAGGGCCAGACGGTCAAGTACCACTGATACATTGTATTAAAGTAAATAGCTACCTGACAAGGAAAGAAATAGATTCAGAGCTGACTAGCCTTGGTAGACTCACAGTGCATTGGTATTGCTAACCCTTAATGATTAACTGTAAGTCTTACGAGGGAGAAGGAGCAGCTGGGAGGATTAAACCTAATCATTCCAGGTCCTATTCTTCTTCAATACCTGGCACCTCCCTGGCAGCACTCCATAGTCTAGTAAACTGAATTCAAGGTTCCTTTAGAGTTAGGAAGAGAAAAGGAACAGTCCAGGTACACAGAGCTAACTGCAATTTACGGCTCCTCTAGGCCTTGTTTGGACTTACCCACACTAGTAGGGAATATGTCCTCATTGTTGATTTGCACCTCAATCCAGTCCATGAGAAGGTTCATATATTGAGGTGCTGGTAATGCTGTGGGCTTCTTGTATCTCAGGTCATCCTGCCACCTGTACTCATACTTAGGGCCCCCAGACATCACAGGGCAGGTCCTCTCTGTGCAGAACTCACAGATCGTTCCATAGATGAGGTTGATCCTGTTAAAGAAGTCAACCACATGTACTGCCACCCAGTCATTTTGGTCTTCTCCATTCGGCAGCTGCACAGCTGCTTTCAGGTCCACCCCTGAGTTCAGAGAGGCCTGTGCTCGTTTATGGAGCTCAAACCTCTGAGTCCCAGGTTCAAATTTCCTTTTGGGACGGAAGGTCTTGTCCTTATTAAAGACTTGCTTGAGTGCTATGGACATGTCTGGTGATTTTCTGACCTCCAGGAGCTGGTAGCGAGGCACCAAAAAGATCTAATGGGTGGAGCCAAAGTGAAGTGAAGGCGCTTCCTGTCACAGGTCCTTAGGACTGGCTGTTAGCCCAAAAGCTGTTGCTGATGCTTATACAGTCCACTAGCTCCTTCTCTTGAAAGCCTTCCCAGGAGATGTCATGTTCCTGAAGATACATGGAGAGAAAAAGGTTAGCATTAAGATAGACGCTGTGCCTGACAATTTGCTAGCTTTATCACCACTCTCAAATGGATATGTATCACATTTTTTGTAAGCTGAAAGGTAAAATTTACACATACAAAACTTTACACACAGGCAAAATTAAAAAAAAAAGAAAAGATTATTTACTTGGATGTTTCTCTCTTTAGGGCTCAACTGGAGACGGGTGAATAGAGCTTGATCTGCTTCGGGTCATCAGAACCTGCCTACTTTAAAATATCTCAAGTTGGATACATATAGGCCTCCTCTACATATTAAAGGTATTGCACAATTAACTGGTGAATTGTGCAGTTATTTTGAGACCAGTACACATGCAAAGAACTGATTGAACAATAAGAAGCTCCAACCAGCTATGAAGTTAAACCTTGAAAATGTGAACAATAAGAAGCTCCAATCAGCTATGAAGTTAGACCTTGAAAATGCATACTAATTTTACAGCTGGTTGCTATCCAGCTTTCATTTGCACATGTAACAGGGTCTCTCCTGTAGCTGGGAGTCCCGTCAGCTGGCAGAGCTCCCAGGCACAGGAGTGCACCTTCCTCAGATGGGGCTGCAAATCCTGTAACTGCTGGGGACTCTCAGCCCCACAGCTGTGGTCTCTGGGTCCCAGTAACTGCAGGGAGTGGAGTTCCACAGCTGAGAACGCTGTTGAATCTTATAGAATAGTTTAAAGAGCTATGGAAAAACTGTCACTTTCTATCAATTTCTAAGGAATTTCTATCAATTTCTAAGGAATTCTTCCATAAAAAAACATTTGGTAGGTGGTCCCCAAGAAGGATAGCACTGGGTTTGTGACGTATTTTCTAAATTGACCTGACAGGCCACAATATATGGTTTTCATAGCTAGACTACCTGGAAGAGAAATTATTCCTTCAGAACAGTGACTCTGTTCTGATGTGTACGTGTATAGGGAAAAATTATCATATGTAAATGAAGTCTGTTAATAGCTGATGTAGTGGCTAGTTCAATGGGAGTTTTGCCTGACTAACAAAAGGCTTTTTGACTTAAATCCCAGGAGGCCTTTTCATGCTGTGAATTATTCAAATTGAAAAACAGCTTCTAAATATGCACAGAACCACCAAAATACTGTCCTATTAACTTCTAATGTGTTCTTTTTATGGGATTATGCTGCTCCATTGTTTCCCTTTGAAAACCACACTCACACAAATTCTCCTAGGCTGCATGTGCAAAGCACTAAATCTAAATTCTTCTGAAGATTATTGCCCAGAGCTTTTCCAAGGGGAAATGGAGGAGAAAAAAAAAAGGTGCTGTTTGTTCCTGAAGAATGTAAAAAAGCCAACATAGGCCTCAGCAGACAGGAACCTGGTGTACTAGGCATCCTGTCCATATAATTGATGGTTATAGCCATCAGAGAAACTAAGTTAGAAAGAGATTAGCATCATGCTGATACAGCGATGTTGAGGTGGTAGTTACGCAACACTGGCACAAACGTTCTCATTCTCTTCTTGATAATAGAACACTGATGCATTAATTGAACCACAGTGTATGGACACATTGATGATGGGTTCATAGACACATTTTCCCTGTGACATGCATGGTAGCAAAGTAGTAAGAAGCCCAGAGATGGATAAAACCCTCCAAGGAGATGACCATCATGCCCAACAAGCCTCTCAAAATAATTGTAAACCAGAACCTAAGTGAACTGGTATCACACATCCTAGAAAATAGGGTAAGGAAAGGAAAGAAATACAGCTGGCTTTGGAACTCTGAGTTCAAGGGTATCAAACTTGCAGTCTATGGGCCAGATGTGGCTGGTAGAGGGACTGGGAATTCAGGGCAGGGCAGGACAAGCATTAAGCTAAGGTAATTTAGTCAATAGCGTCACATGACAGTTCACCGAGGCCAAGTCATTCCACTTTCAGCTCTCACAGGCTAAGCAGCACTGGGCTGTCATCACTTGACTGGGGAATCCCTCAAGGTACAGCTATGTGCTGCAGGAAGTGGTATTAATGATTCAGCAAGTGAATACTTTCCCTCTGAGAAGGCATGAGCCACTGACCCAATGGTCTAAGCAAGTGCTGTGGTGCTGGAGGTGCCATTTTCTGTATACAATGCAAAACTACACTGTAATTACTTCCAGATCCCATTTTGCTTTTTAAAGGTGTAAGAATGCTTGTTCCAGTGTTCTAACTAATCACAGCTCAGGCAATTAGGTTCTCCCCACATAAACACACCTGTCATTTCTGGTTGGACATTTACTATCCTGTTTTCACCTGTTAATACATGCAATTAAACAGCTGCTCATACTCCAAATGCTTTACAAACTTTAGACCAAATGGCTGCTTATATATGTGCTTGTTCGCATTCTAACTAGGACACTCCAGAGTCACCTCACCATCACATGTATTGAACCCCTGTGCATTTTTAAATGGCTGTGGGTTTGCTATATCTAAACCTCATTGAATGAGGTTTAGATAAAGCATCCTGCTAAATGTGTGTGGACTTAATACATGTGATAGTGAGCAGTTTTAATTAGAGAGACTGTCTGGGAACCACTCTAATTAAAATGCCCCCCGCCCAGGTATGTGTATAGGCAGCCAAAGGTGCTATTACTGAGAACAAAATGAGTTTGCCATCATGTTCGATAAGGGCAGGATGGGCCTCCAGTAAAATACAGGCTGAAAAAAAGGTCTAGGGACACAATTTGAGACAGTTCTCACAAAGGTCTGTTTGTCTTTGGGAGAAATGGGTGGATTATCTTTTATAACTATTCTGTATGCAAAAATACAAGTACCATTGACTTAGATCAACATTGAAGATCTAAGATCATAGATGATCAACATGCACAGATCAACACACCAATACAAAGCTGATGTAGTGGAATGGAGAAACAGATGCAAAACAAAGCAAATGCCAACTTTACTTGGTTATTTCTCATCTTCTCTAGTCATACACAGGCCAAGATTTACAGTTCAAGTCTGCCACTGCATATGCCCATGTACCTCTAACTAGACAAAATTCTACTCCAAGGTATACAACTGCTTTTGAACTCACTAAAGCACATTTTTAAATTTATTTTATTTATAGATTCATAGATTGCAAGGTCTAGAAGGGACCTTGCAAGATCATTGGGTCCAGCCCCCTGCACTAGGCAGGAAAGACAACTGGGGTCAGGTGACTCCAGTGAGGTAACCGTCCAGTCTCCTCTTGAAGATTTCCAGGATAGGTGATTGCACCACCTCTAGAGGGAATTTATTCCACAGTCTGGACACCCTGACTTTGAAGAAGTTTTTCCTAGTGTTAAGCCTGAAACAATCTTCCAGGAGTTTGTGGCCATTACTCCTGGTTTTCCCCAAGGGTGCCTTGGTGAACAGTTGTTCGCTGAGCCCTTGATGTATTCCCCTAATGTAGCGGTAAGCTGCTACCAAGTCTCCTCTCAGCCTTCTCTTTTTTATACGGAAGAGACCCAAGTCCCTCACCCCTTCCTCGTATGGCTTGCCTTTCATGTCTCTCATTGTATGGGTGGCTCTTCTCTGGACTCTCTCCAGCTTTTCCAAATCCTTGTGGAAGTGTGGAGCCCAGAACTAGACACAGTACTCCAGCTGCAGAGTTACCCATGCTGAATAAAGCAGAAGAATCACTTCCTTGGTTTTGCTTGAGATGCATTATGCATGCATGCATGCATGCAATTTATATCCTGCATTTCCCAATAAAGACTTAGGGCAGCTTATAACAAAACAGAAAAATTAAAAATGATGGATAAGAGGACCAAAGCAGCTTACAAGGGAACTAGAACACCAAGATAAAACAGAGATCCCTAAACAAGATCTCATTTTGCCTTCAGATATGCACAAAGCTCAAGAGAAATGTGTTGCGATTCCTACAGGCAGACTATGAAGAAATGGGGAGATACACCTTAGATATCCCACACACAGAATTTGGGACTTAGTATTTTGTGACATAAAACCAGGTCTTCTCTCACATATTTTCCCATCCCTTTATTCGTAACTATTTACTGCTTTTGCAATGTCAGAATATTCATGCCAGTCTCAGGGTTGTTATTCAGCTACAAGGACTTATGATATCTGTTAAATATGGCTGAAACAAAGGCTAGAAGAAAATCTTTCAGACAGACTTATCTTCTTTCTCTTTTTCCCCTCAAAAGAAAACAAAATGGGAAGGAAAGGAGAAAAGAAAAGAGGAAGGGTATCATCAAACTTTCATGGGTTCCTTTAGTGAAGTGACCCATCTCCGTGAGCTCTGCCTGCTGTGGGTATCTGCCAGCTCATTTAAAACCCTCTTAGCCCAAAAAGTACTACAGAAAGAAGAGATATCTCCTTTTCTGAGATATCTGGCTTTTCTTTTTCTGTTAAATAACCTCTCCAACTCTCACTAAAGCAACTAGCTCAGTTTGGTTTCAAAAATTTATCTCTGCTAAACTAAGTGCTCATGAAAGCCACTACTTTAACTGTCCTGGAGAATCAAGTTCCCACATCATTTGACAGGAGAGATGAGCTTCTCCACACTGCCTGCCAACATGCAGGCACTTCACTCTGCTTCAGCCATTGTCTCTCTTAGGAGAAGACTTTAGGCTAGGAGTTTTAAAGGATCGTGTGCTCGGGACCCAACTCCTAGAGCTACTTAAAGGGATTTAGCTGGTTTAGGCTTATTTAAAATCCCCTATCTCATCCCATAGGCTCAGAACAAGCCTGCAAAATCTACTTTACTTCTCAGGCTGCTTGGGGTCATGGTGACCTAGGGCAGGATGCAATTAGATAAGACACCAGTCCACTGTGGAACTGGAGTGAGACCACAAAGTCATTTCACATGGGCCCAACAGGCCTTTGATGTTAAACCATTATAGCTATGAATGCATCTCAGCTACACCTGAACTGCATTTAAACCAGGTAGTTAGTACACCATCGCACCTTTCTGACATTGTCATTTAAACATTCCTCAACCATATTGGTAATAACCACCCCCAGG